TAACAGTTAACAATTCGGCACTACGTGCCTCATCCTTAATCGATATTCGAATGCATCATACAAAGCCAGGATACGAACACTATTTCGGCACTATGTGCCTCAAACCTGGCATTCGAATGCGATATGCAAAGCCAGATCACGAGCTCTATTTCGACACTTCGTGCCTCAAACCCGGCATTCGAATTCAAGATACAAGGCCAAAATAAGCATTTTCCAAGAGTGCTACTTATAGATGACCGTCCACACGTGTGGACGATGGACACAAATGTTACATGTCGGAGTCTGGGCTTGAAAAAATCAGGCGCCTTCTTAAATATATACTCCGCTAATCAACCCGCAATCAATACTAGGGACATATTTTTTTTGCCCATGTGAGCCAATGACGGAAATTGGCCAGAATTACTAAACTGACATACATTATATCCACGTGGCCTGATACATAAAATGCGCCACCATGGTGCGTGTCGTAAAAAGCAGAATACACGTCACTCGAGTGCGGTCTAAAATGCAAAATGTACGTCATACTGGAGCATGTCTCAGCGGTTCTCAGATGGCAATACGAATGCAACCTATATAGCACCCAATATATAGACTATAAACGTCTCAGGTATGACGGGGGTAACGCAAAACACATGTCACTCGAATGTGTCGTAGAACGCAAAACGCACGTCACTCAAATGTGTCGTAGAACGCAAAACGCACGTCATATCTGAGACTATAATAGTCTAAACTAAGCCGTTTTTTGTTTATATAAACAAAAAACGGCTATATTAATTGTTATATCAAATATATTATTTATACTATAAAAATTATTCATTATGCGATAAATAATTCTTTTCTTCTAATATATGTTTAATGAACGGAAATAAATCAGCTGTGTAGGGAATCTCAATAAGATCTATACCTTCTCTTTTACATAATTTGCGCTTTTTCTGATCTCAATTTTTCTGGCTTATTAAATCTACTTCTCCATTTTTTCTATGGTATAAACTATTATGATTAAAGTGTTGGACTCCATCATATTCCCAAGCTAATTTCAATTCTTCATTATATCCATCTAAGTGTAAACCATCTAGAAATTTTGGCACACATGGTGTAAATTTTTTATCTAATAAATCCTCAAAAATATATCGACATCTATGTTCTTCTTTGAAATGAGGACAAATAGGACACCATTCAAATTTCTTAGCAATTAATGGATATGGATATTCGAATTAGGGATGGGAACGGTTCAACCCAAACCTTTATTTTTGGAAAAGGCATTAACAAATGGTGATTTTTTACAAGAATCAATAATAAATGTTTCTTGTACTATTGATTCAGGAGAGGAAAATTTATTTGTATGTGCCCTTATTTTGCTATGTATGTTTTCAACAAAATAATCATTAAAATTTACTAATGATTTTTCTAACAATTTTGCAAATGGATGATTATTTTGCTTCCAATAAAAATAATCAGATAAAAAAGCAAGAGGAATTTTGTTAAAAAAAATGTCCAGATGCGAAAAATTGTTTCAAGGTATTGTTCAAAAGCTCCAGATCAAAAAAGAATTGTGTATATATCCAGGTAGCTGGTATAATATTATCTAATATATCAATCACCATTCTATATTCCACATCTTTTGTTTTATTAAATTTTTCTAATATATCTTTTGAAATTTCCATCCATCCATCATGAGCCAACTGGAGAAGAAGGTTAATGCGCCATGGTTTAGGCTTTTGGGAAATTTTTTCTTCTCAAATACTGTACAGAATAGTTTCTTAAAGGTATCTTTACAACACATTCCCTTGAATTCAAAGAAACATGCAATGGACCCAATATTGGAACAACATTTTCAATCCCATCAATATTACTTAATAAATTTTTTGAATGTAGTGTAATAGCTTTTCTAAGAAAGAGTTGTCCTGGGTAGTCAGCAATTACAGGTATAACATTTTTTTTAATATATTCTGATAAACTATTTATACTTGTTATCATTTTTAATGCTGACAAATAATCATCCAATGAGTGAAGGCTCTGTTGTTTTATATTTATTATCTTTACTGACTCTATTGACCTTTCTTCTTTTTTTCTTCAATATCTGCATTATATATATGAATAGTTAAAACTTCAACATGATCAAAATTTCTATTATCAATAATTCTATCTTTAACCCATTGTATTTTTATATTATTATAACTTATATCAAGATTCCTTTATAATTATTAATAAGTTTTGAGTTTATTAATGAATAGTCAATATTATTTGGATTGAAAATAGGCACATTATTAAAATTAGCAGGAACCACCCAAACATTGTCAATTCTTTTTGCAATGCATGTTGCCATATGTACTGCAGAAGATAGTGTTGTGGAATCAGGTCTTCTCCATTCATGGATGGAATGAAAATCATCAATATTAAAATAATGCATATATGGAAGATAATTGGTAAAATATGTTTCAACTTTTTTTTGATGATTTTCTGCAATTTTTTTTTATAATTCTGAATAGTTTTGTAACAAGCAGAAGGTTAGCAATTGATAATCTATCAAGTGCAGCAGCATTGGTTCTATTTTCTTCTAAATAAAGCCCAAGGTCTAATTTAAAATTATTCACAAATTTGTTTCTTATTCCAGCTAAAAGGTAACAAAAACCTACAATAGCTTTTTTGGCTGATTCTTTATTCAGATATGTTCTTT